CACGGTAACCGCAGCGTTGGCGTGATGAGTCAGCGGTGGCGTTAAGGTCCACAACAGGTAGTCCAATTCATCCTGGCCACTTCTACCGAATCCGCGTTTGCGGTAGCAACTGTTAGAGCGCGCGATCATGGCTCTCTTTATACGTCTCGACGCTAGTCGAGGTCTAAGCAGTACTCTTCACTAACTTTAAGACGCGAACTTTCTGCCCGGCAGGGTACCGAAAATCATTGTTGGTTTATTTTTAGTTCAGTAAAAGCATGCGGTTTAGGGGTTTTCAAGAGTTCCCCCCTTTGTTTTTAATCATCGGCATTTAGAAGGCACATCCGAGGATCTCTCGGATCGGGACAACGAGGACAATATGCTAAAAAGCTCAAAGGCGCCTGAGAGTGATATGAGGACCCCAGAGAACGTTCCAGGAGCATTTGGGGACCAAGAGGGAGTTCCGATAGTTAGTGGAGGTTGGTTTGCATTTTTTGGTTATTCTAGTTATTTTATGATTATTTACTCCTGTTATGACCCACGCTCGGTACATTTAATTAGCACGAACAGTGGGCTAGCCCGCCCACGGTACTCAAGGCCCGTACGAGAGAAGCAAGAGAACACGAGTGACCAAGATCAGCGTTTACTCACACAAAGCAAGTAAGAGCAAGTCATTCCCACACAGAGACAGCGTGTATTATTGGTACGCGTGAGAGACAGTGTTCGAGGCATGGACCAATCAGAATTTAGAACACATCGCTGGTTGGGCAAAGAGATTCCTCGCGACGCCTTTGTATTCAATGTCTCTTCGTGGGAATGGAAGGATTTCCAAAAGCTCACCTCAAATCTCAGTCTAAATACGCGATGAAAGGTGATAATTAAAAAGTGTAACCAATTCAATAGTATTGGCGAAAGTCGATCGAGAATACTTTTGTGTCTGAGCCTAATCCACACTCAGAGAGTAGCCTGAAATTCAAACTTTGTTCACTGAAAAATCCCATTTCACGATTAAAAAGTTGTTTAAGCAAAGAGCTGTTTTCGGTCACTCATAATCTGACCTTACATGGAAAATAAATTTGTCAAACATGTACAGGGCTTATATGGTTCTTGCGGTTTGAGGAAAGCGGAAAGGGTGATTAGGAATCTCTTCGTTCTGACATGGCGGAGTCAGTATATTGAGGACGTTAGGGTTCGGAGTATGAGCGAGATGGGGGATGTGCGAACGGTAATTTTTGTTTGAAGTCTGTACATCAAACACGCGGTGTGTGTGTGCCTGTTCTCTGTGGCTTTAAGCGGCATGCGATTCACACTTGTAGTCGGCTAAGGGAGACAAACTGCCTGTAGCACTAGCAGAGGGCTGGTTTTGCCAAAAGAATAGCCACTTCCTCGGTTGTGGCTAGCCCCCATTTACGTAGGCCTTTAGAGTAGCATGCTCGTGCCTGGTCTATGAACTAAAAGGCCTCTCTCGCGTCAACTAAATGGTTCGTGTCGATCAAGCTTGCGAGAATCGAACTTTAAATTGATTGACTTTCTCCTTTGCCTTGCAATGTCAGTGTCAAGGCCTGGCGACGAAAGAAATCTGTTTGCCAAAACTACTTCGCAATTCCAACTTTGTTGTAATCCACAAAATCGTTTCTGACTTCTGCAATTATTTGCTTGTTTTTTTTTATTGACAGTATGATTTTTCTCCTGGCATGGTTATAGAAGATAATGAGATGCAGAGTCCACCGGCAGCCATTGAAGACGGTGATAACAACCTGATGAGTAATCTGATCAATCGTTTCGTCGATGACGTGGACGATCTTCGTGACCTTGATTCCATCGGAAATCAGCGGGATCAAAGGCACACCGATGCAAGTCGGTCATCGACTGCCGCTCACGACAGAGGTTACCAAAAGCACAAAAAGGTAGAAATTATGGCCCTCTTCGACGTAGATGTCAGCACTGACGGATCAGCCATCGGAGATGACATTCCCACAGGCGCTACCCTATCCACGACTGCTGACCTTGAAGTCGTTCGTGCAAATCTGCACAAAGCCCTCCAATCGGGCGCGGAAGCCGAATA